TTAGATTTACTTTTTTTTTACATTAATGCATAATGAAATTATATCAACAGTATGTGTGTTCACTGTGTCTGCCTCTTTCAGCATTGTGGAACTCATCACACTACGGCAGGTAGCAGCAGGTGGCTCATTCTCGTTGCTCTGCGGTTCCATTGTATTAATATATTACTGCTGATTTATCTGCTTTACCGATACAGGGCATCTGGGTCGTGTCCAGTGCAGGCCTATTAGGAGCAGTGGTGCCAGGAACATTCTCGCCTGTGTCTTGATGAGAAGGATATGTGTTTGCCTTTCTGTTGGGCCTGTGGGTGAATTGCTGAGCTATAGGGTGACTGGAAGTTCAGCTTTACTGTTTTCCAAAGTAGTCGTCTCCGACTGCGTTCCCAGCAGCACTGTAGCAGAGTTCTCGTAGTTCCGTGTCCTCACCAACACTTGATGGTGTCTTTTGACACCAAATGCTTTTTTAGTTCAGCTGCTGTGGAAGGTGGATCACACTGGGGTTTTAATTTCCACTTCCCAGATAACTAAGCAGTTGGGCACCTTTTCATGTACTGGACTCGCCATTTGTGAAGTAACTGCTGTGAGATAACTGTTGAAGTCTTTTGTCCCTTTTCCTGTTAGTTGCTCTGCTTCTTTCCTTACTGATTTTTAAGTTCTTCTACCTTCAGGAGAATTCCAGCCAGTGTCTTAAGAACTCAGATCTGTTTATCGGGCTTCTGGCCTGCCTCAGAGGGTCCTGTGAGAAATGCTTCTGCCTTTTCCCTGTTCTTCCTCTGATGCCTTTTCTGTTTCATTTGTTTTCTGACTTCGAGGTCTGTGGTGTGCCTTTCACTCAAATTCGTGGGTTTCCGCGTAGCTGCCGTCTTCCTGCTCCGTTGTGTCACTCTGCTCTGTGCCCTGGTGCCGGGGCTGCTTGTTCCAGTCACAGCCCAGCCTGCTCAGTCTTGGTGATGTCACTGATTTGTCCTGTCAAGTTCACTTTAATACCCAACGTTTAACTTGCATTTAACTTTCAAGTTCATTTTGTTTTATGAGCTATTTATTACTGTATACATTTGCTTGGAAAATACAGTGTATCTTTTGGTCCCTACAGTCTTTTCTGTGTGAGGGTGAGGTTTTGGGGAGTTCTAACTTTTTCACACCACTCCGTGGTTGCTGGGAGTTACAGTGCTGGCTGCAGTCCAAACTGATGGGCAGTCTCGTTATTCCTTAGGGCCTCTCCCCTGAATCCTGCCTTCTTCCCGCTCTGGTCGCATCCAACACCTGCTTTTCTCCTGAGTTCTGTCCTGCCCTCTCTGTCTCCACAACCAAGGGGTGGAATAGGAAATTCTGTCCAAGAGTTCTCTCTCAGAAACAGCCCATGTTCCTTTCCTCCTGAGGAGACCCTCCCACCCTCACCTCTCCCGTCGGGCCCCAGGGTGTGCGGCCTGCTCCCTAGGGTTTGGGGAGCTTCCCCAGGGCTGGAAGGCTGCTGAGGAGCCTGCAGAAGACCAGGGGGAGAGGAAGTGGCAATCATGACCCGTCTTGAATTACGGAAATACGGATTTCTGTCTCGGCGGTGGTAGAGCGTGATCAGAGTCATGAGCTAGGAGTTGGACTTTTGGCCCCAGAACAGTCTCAGGAAGATGTTGCCCACAGGAAGAGCCAACTTTTGTTTCTGTCAAATAGAAAATACCCTAAAGTCAGGACCTAGAGCTGAAATAGCACCGAGGGTGAGGAGGTGCCGGCCTCAGCACTGTGCCGGGTCCCCGCCCCAGACCTCACAGCACTAGGAGGTGGCGCCACCATGAATAGCCCCAGTTGTCAGCTGAGTGACAGGAGGCAGCTGCTCCAAGTTGCAAGCTTGGCAGGGCTTCAGGCCTGGGGTGTGCCCCGAGCACCGTGTGCCGGCCCTGCTGGGTCCTGTCTACGTCTGTTCGCACTCAGCTCGGGGACAGCCTGTCAGGTAGCCTGTCATCTCCCCTTTCCTGGAAGAGAACCAGCCAGTCAGTGGCCAGGTGGGGTTCAGGTCAAGTCTGTCTGAGGCTTCTTCAAACAGGCATGAGAATTTAAAAAAAAAAAAAAAAAGACTGACAACCAGGTTCTTGGACATTCACCTGTTGGTCAGTGTTATTCTCTGTAAACAGTTGCACAGATGAGGAGATGACATCATTTATCATTTGTTTCACTAACTCACTGTCTTTAAACACAACCATTTTGTTGATAACTTGCTGTCCAGTGGTGCCTAGTACCCACGAAGCTGTTTCAGGAAAGCCCGCTCCTTTGGCACGTGGAGGATGGTGGGCCCACGGGTCCGTCTTCCCAGATGACATAGCTGAGTTCTGAAAAATGTGGGCATTTCATTGCATTAAGGTTGTCACAGGAGTAAAACAAGACCTAAAGCAGAATGGGCATTAAAAAAACCTCACAGTTCTCCTCTGTGAATGTCATAGTGAGTAACTCCTAATATAATCCTCGAGTTATGCAAAATAAGTTACTGTCTTTCTGTAACTGTATTTATTATGCTCATAAAGCTGTTCAAATGTTAAAACTCACCCCGAGTGCATAATAAAGAAGTGTTTGCTGAGATTTTGTAGACAGTTACTGATGAAAATTCCCTATACACTGACCCCAGGCCATTGGCAGTTGCCAGCCTGCCGTGGCTTTCCCTGACTGCCCTGTCCAGGGCACCCACTGCCCCCTTACAAATGACCCACTTCATCTTCAGTGTCTAAAGTTGCTTTCTGGTTTGTCTGTTTCTCCCCAGTGTAAGTCCTGTGTGAGTAAGAACCTCATCTGCCAGGCCTTGGAAGCCCAGGTCCAGAGCAGACACTCAGCAAGCATCCGCGGGGTGGGTGTGTGGTTGTCTCTGGGAAGTGGGCGGGTGCTCTCCACGCGTGAAAGAGCGGCTCCTTCCTCCCAGCAGAGGAGGGCACACGGCTTCTCCCCATCTCCCCGCACCCTCTCCTGGCCTTACCTCTTCCTGCACCCAGCCTGGCCTCTGTGAGGACTTGTCCCAGTTACCCTGGTTGTGGAAGAATGAGCGGCATCGTGCATTTGTGGCCTGGTTCTAAGTGTCCCCTTCTGTGATTAAGCTTTGTAGGAAGTTTATGGAAGTCACTGAAGAGATCATCTATAAAACACAGTTTCTAAATTTTCTGAACCAGAAAAATGATCATCTAGTGACTTAAGTTGAGTGTTCCTAAATTAGAGCTTTCTAATAAAAATGAAAGCTATAAGATGGGCAAAAATCCAAAAGTTAAATAACATGTTTTATCAGAGAATCCGTGAGGAAGCAGACGTTTTCCTAACACTGCTGGTGGGAATGCAAATGATACAACCCCCGTGGAGGGGAATTTGGCAATAGTAGTAAAATTACATATGCATTTGTTCTTTGTCAGGGCGGTTCTGCTTCTAGGAATTTATCCCCAAAATACCTCGGTAAAAATGTGAAGAGATCCATGCAAAGGCTGTTCATTGTGGCTCCTTTTGAAACAGCAATGTAGAGTTTCCATGAATAGGGAGCTGGTTGAATGGACTCTGGTGCCGCTGTGCAGAGAGGCAACCGAGCAGCTGTAGGAGAGAGTGAGGAACCGCCGTCCTTGCTGAGGAGTGATGGGCGGGATGCATGCACTTGACCTTGGACAGCCCCGGGTGAGGGGCACTGGCCTTCTGCACAGTTGAAAATCCACATATAATTTGTAATCGGCTCTCCTTTGCTGCAGCTCTTCCCTGTCCATGGTTTGCGTCTGCTGATCCAGCCAACCACGGATTGTGGAGTGTTTGCCATTGGAAAAAAACCTGCATATAAGTGGACCCTCACAGTTCAAATCTGTGTTTTTCAAGGGTCAACTGTGATTAAGTTAAACAAGCAAAGGGTGGAGAACATTGTCTGTGGTATGCTACTGTTTTGAAAGGAGAGAGTATGAATATATACTTGTATTTGCATGTGTCTTAAAAACGGAAGGATAAACCATACTTTATTTATTACTAAAGTGACTTGAGGGAGGGAGGGAACCAGCATGAGAGGACACATACAAAAGCTGTGCCTTATTTTGCCCATTTGCCTTTGAGACCATGTAGATATTTTACATCACTATAAAAAAATGTGTAAATTTATAACTTTTAAGAATTTTGATAGACATTGTCAGATTTTTTCCCTAAAACATTTATACTCTGCCTTCTATTAGTACCTGAGGAGGACTCTTTTCTCTCACACCTTGGCCAACACTGGGTTATCGTCTTTAAGAACTGTGGCAGTCTGACAAGTGAAGAATGGTTTCTGTTTCACTTGTGTTCCCCAACAACTATAGTGATCAAGCATCTTTTTACTCCTTTTTTAGCCATTTCGTATTTCTTCTGTGAAATGCAAGTTCATAGCCTTTTTTTTCTATTGATTTATGAAAACTCTTTTATGTTGTGGATGTAATTTTCAATTGTTGATTATTACCAAGTTTGTGACCTGATTTCCAGTTCAGTTGTTCAGGCCTGACTATAGTAGCTGGTTGTTGATCTGTTGTCATATATTAAAAGTTTTTAAAAAAACATTTATGTATGATACATTTGAAATGCTCATGAAATTCCCAGAGTAACTGTGGACCAGACTTTCCCTGAGCTGTTCAAGTGCTGATCAGTTTTTCAGCTCTTCAGAGCGATAGAAACTTTGTTTTCTTCTCCTTTTTTGAGAATTTCCTATGGCTGGTTACTGTGTCTTAGCAGTAGATAGTTGGCAAATGTCCACTTAACATTGATTTTTAGGGAATGTATAATTAAATTTGATTGCCTTTTTGGTTTGAGATTGTTCCTGGTTTTTAATGACCCATTATAACCATTTTTCTGATCTATTCGGTCGAATACCTGAATGAAACAGTACTTCTTCATTAGGAAAAATACACACACAGACACACACACACACACGCACGCACGCATACGGTGAAAGTAGGTTTTAAAAAGAATTTTCATAGTCGCTAGCATTTGTCGTTTGCTCATGGATGTATTGGATATGTTTCTTGTTTCTTTCCTAGGTCATCACTCCATGTAGGAAACTCATCCTGTGTGCTGATAACAGAAAAGAAATGGAAGATTGGATTGCAGCACTGAAGACTGTCCAGAACAGGGAGCATTTTGAGGTTAAAGAAGAAAAACACCCCTTCTTGTTGCCCTCCCCTTAGTGTCCTGCCGCGTGGGGGCCGTGCGGTCTGGAGCGTTCTCAGCACACTCCTTGTAGCCCGAAGGCTTGGGGCTCATCCTTCGGGCCATCAGACAGCGCCCTCGTCCTCCTCTCCTCCCTTGGATTCTTCACTGAATCTCGTCCAAATTACCACATCAGAGTATCAGAGTGTTAAGCTATCACTTAAGCTCTTAGAGGGCCGCCTGATCTTTGCCGTCTTTGTTCGCGCTTGTAGCCCAGCCAGTACAGCATGGACCACTTCTCGGGGACGCACAACTGGTATGCCTGCTCCCACGCGAGGCCGACCTACTGCAACGTGTGCCGTGAGGCTCTGTCTGGGGTCACGTCCCACGGACTGTCCTGTGAAGGTATGGGCCACTCGTGAACCTGTAGGGGAAGGTGGCCTGAGGCTTGACGTAACAAAGCCTTAGAGATCCGGACATCGTCACCTTGGGCTAGTCAGGAGCAAAGTGATTTTTATGACTCCATGCTTATTTATTTTGCCTACTGAGGGGTCTTGGATAAATTATTTTTTTATAGTAATGGAACAGAGTAGAAAGGGAAGTGGTAATGAGATATGAAAAGGAAACATAGGGGACACGGAAGGAAAAGAGACTTAAAATATCTGTCGGCCCCCGTCCCTCTCTGGGTAGACTGGGTTGTGGATTTAAAATTATCTCCCACATCTAGAGGGCGGGGCTACAGTGTTCGGTCAGGAGCAGTGGGCAGGAGCAGAGAAAGGCAAGCTGTGGTCTTTGGCCCAGTTCGCACTTGCTGCCTGAATTTGGACAGCTTGTGAGCTTAATGGTTTTTACAATTTAAATGTTAGGAAAAAAATCAGAAGACGACTACTGTTTTGTGACACAGAAAATCACGTGAAATTTAAATGTCAGTGTCTGTATGTGAATCACTGTCCGCGGCAGCCCTCGTGTTGTGGGGGCAGAGTCGTGTGTGCAGCTGGCCCACGAAGCCCTGAGCTGCTTGCTGTGTGGCCCTCAACAGAAAGCCTGCCGACCCTGGGCTGGACTGGACGCCTGGTCTCGCCGTAATCAGTCTCTGCCCGTATCCTGGTGGTATAGTTTATCACTAGACTAACCATGTATGTTGGTTCCCAGCTTTCCCAGAGAGCAGGCTGTTCATCCCAGACCGCTGCCTCCATCATGGAGGCCCCCCCGGAGCGAGGCTCGGGGTGGGGGGGTTAATGTGTCCATTCTCCCGCAGTGTGCAAATTTAAGGCCCACAAGCGCTGTGCTGTGCGTGCGACCAGTAACTGCAAGTGGACCACGTTGGCCTCCATCGGGAAGGACATCATTGAGGACGAGGACGGGGTATGCGTGGGGGACCGGCCCTGCGGCAGGGCTCCTGACCCTGCACGGCCCTCCCAGTGCCGGGGCCAAAGGGTCCCCACTCCTCTTGGCCTTTGCTCAGTTCTCTTCCTCGAAAGGAATGCGGGCAGGGTTTCCTTTGAGTTGGTCACACTGGTATTTGGGGGCGTGTGGGCCACTGCACCCCGAGCTCTGTCTGGTCCCTGTGAGTCACGGGTGCCTGGCCTGGGAGTGGTGCTGTGGACAGCTCTCTGCAGACCCCTCCCCACCCCTGTGCTGAGAAGACCATCTTAGTTAAGCTCATTTTGGAGCATTTTGGCTGAGGGCCCCCTTGGCCCGTGGGGAGGGCTGTGGGGCCGCCCCCAGCGCGGTCTGTGGTTTGCAGATCGCCATGCCGCACCAGTGGCTGGAGGGGAACCTGCCCGTGAGTGCTAAGTGCACGGTGTGCGACAAGACGTGTGGCAGCGTGCTGCGCCTGCAGGACTGGCGCTGTCTCTGGTGCAAGGCCATGGTGAGTGTGGCCGCTGGGGCTTTTGCCACGGGCACCATCCTTCCGCTGAATCTTGGTGAATTCCTGGGTGGGAACACAGGCCGCTGGCTCTGGAAGTGCCTGCTCCTGGAGGTGGGGCTGGGGAGAGTTCTGGTGTGTGGGAGGGAGGCCGGTGGCCCCCTGTGACGTGTGGGTCCATGTTTCAGGTGCACACGGCATGTAAAGAGTCCTTGCTGACCAAGTGCCCGCTGGGCCTATGCAAAGTGTCTGTCATCCCACCCACCGCACTCAACAGCATCGATTCTGATGGTGGGTACCACCTGCTCCCTCACCTTCGCGTTTCCTTGTGCTTCTTTCTCCAGGCCTTCTCCGTGTGCCTGCTCTGGAGTTGGTTACTGTGGGTGGTGGTTTGGGGAGGTGGTCGGAAAGAGGTCAGGTGGATCCATTTGGCTGTTGAGTAGAAACTAAGTGTAAGATGCTTCTGTGTCTTTGACACGAGCTGTTGAAGTCGAGCTGTCCGTCAGCTGGTCTCCACCTAGCAGTTGATGCTGAGCAGCACGCTTCCCTGCCTGCTCTCGCTGGTCCAGATGGTACGTGATGATGCACATTAACAGTGCTGGGTCAGGAAACTGGGGCACGTGTCTCAGGAAGTCAGCTCTGCCAGATGGACAGCAGGGTCTGACTTTAGAGTCCTGTAAATGTGGGGTCGGACTGCACGGGGCCTCGCTTCCCTCCACGCAGGGAATGGCCTTGTGGGAATGTGTCAGTTACACTCTTGCTGGTTTCCTGGGCGGGGCATGTAAGTTATAGGTCCCTTGGGGGTGTCTACTTGTTACATGATTAAGAGTGCCCCTGGTGTCTTTCACGGCTCTCAGATTTTCTTCCTTCCTTTTCCATCCTCACACCCAGGCTTCTGGAAGGCCACGTGTCCTCCGTCCTGCACGAGTCCATTGTTGGTCTTTGTCAATTCAAAAAGTGGGGACAACCAGGGTGTGAAGTTCCTCCGAAGATTCAAGCAGCTACTGAACCCTGCCCAGGTCTTTGACCTCATGAACGGAGGACCACATCTTGGGTAGGAAGCTTGTAAAATACCTCTTTCTTGGAGTTTAAACAAATGTTTGAAGATAATGCCTCCTTATTTAACAATTCAAAAATACAGAAAAATTTAAATAGGAAATAGAAGTTGTTTTTCTTGAACTATCCCCTCCCCAGATTCCACTGGCAGAGATGCCACTCTGAACGGGTCATAAAGTTGCATGTCTGTCCAGCTTTCGGTGTGTGTTTCTCTTAAACTTGGGGTCTTCTTTTAATGGTGTTGCAGACAACAGTGTGGTCAGGTTTGATGTCAGTAGTTACAGATCTGCCTCGTTCTTTTCAGCGGCTGCTGAGTATTGAGGAGGAGGCCTTTCTCCAGTGAGGCCAAAACAGGGGTTTTTCATTTTGGAGGACACACGCATTCCCTCAGCGGCAGGTGCACTGACAGATGTGCAAGGCCCAGTGTTTGGGGCAAAGTAAAAGCTTCACACAGGTGTTCTTTCCAGTTCTGTACAGTTTATCGGTTTGTGGAAAACGTGCTTCTGAAAATTTTGGCATTTGAACTAACTCCTTCGTCATTTGGAAGCACCCATGCAAGGTGGGCCTCCTGGCGTGGGAGGGAGATTGTCCAGCACGTTTGTCATGGAAAGCGCCTGTGGAACCTGCTGTCTGGTGTGTGTTCTCCTGGGAGGCTCTGGGGAGTGTGTTGCTTTGGAGCCAAGTGCTTCTGTGATGTGAGCCTGGGGCCGGGCGGAGAGGGAGGCGCACGGGGCTGCTGGGGGTCTGCCGTGTCGCTTTCCCCCTCGCAGCGAGGCACAGTTGGGGAATGGTCACCCAGGGCAGCTTTCCAGCCTGTTGGCACTCCTCTGGGCTTCCTCCCTGCCGAGGGGGTCACCCCACCCTGCGGTGATGCAGTAACAGGCTCAGGCTGCTGCTCCCCCCGCGCGGGGGTGTCAGAGGAGGCGGGGAGGCGGCCTCAGACGGGCGGGCTGCGTGGTAGGATCCGAGAACGAGCACACATTCATTTTGAGACGCACAAAAGCCCTCGAGTTTGTAGTCAGCGTTAAGGACGAGACAGGACCACTTAGGTGCAGACCCACAGAGGTGCAGTGGGGCTCGGTTTAGAACATTCCCCTTTCTGGGAAGCAGCCTTGATCTCACTGTTCTAACAGGACTTAGAGATACCACTTCATCTTCCCAATTCCTGGCCTTGACGTGTCCCCTCCTCTCCAGAGGGACAGGCGGTGGTTTCTCTCCTGGCCAGAGAGCCAGTGCAGCTGCCGCTTCAGGACCTCACCTCTGTTTATGCCTCGTTTACGCCATGTCGTTTGTGCCTGCCTGCTGTCCGAGGCCTTCCTCTGGCTGGGACTGTGCTAGATGGCAGGCCCGTTAAGGTGGCGCCCTGCCTGCAGGGGGTGGGCACCCCAGGGCAGGTGCCCTGTCTCTCTGGCAGTGCGGTTTGCAAATTCTTTGGGAACCGAGGGGCTTGTGAAGCTGATGGGCGTATCCTCCCATTCAGTTTCTCCACTGGGCTAGCATTTGGGAGAGTTAGTTTTAATGGCGGGGAGCCCTCTGTGCAGAGGTGAGGACGCAGTGAGGGGTGGGCCAGGGTGCTGGCCGAGAGGTTTGAATCTTCCCTGGAAACAAGCAGCCACTTCTAAAGCTAGACACCCGAAGATGGGAAGATGACACTAGAAGCACAAACTGGAGGTGCCCTGAAGGAGATGTGAGTAGGTGGGAGGCTCTTGCAGGGGTCACGAGAGAAGCGGTGGAGGCCTGCACTCAGGGGACCCTGGGGTCTGGCCCAGCGACCAGGTAGGTGGTGGTGCTGCCTTTCTCTGAGGAAGGAAACCTAGGACCAGGAGGTGCCGTGCAACACCCAGGCGGCATGTCTTGGTAGACAAGTGCAAGTGCTGTTCTCCGGGAAAGCCTAGGGGTCATCACTAGGGTCATTCGGGTCATTCAGGGTCATCAGCATCTGAGTGGCCCCTGAAGCCAACGTGGGGATAAGGCTACTGAGGAAGAGGCTGGGGAGTGAGCGGAGGCTGCAGGTGTCTGGGAGGGACACTGCGTGCAGGGGGCAAGGTGACCAAGAGGCGCACAGGAAGGAGACAGGGGAGCAGCGTGAGTCAGTTGCCTGGGAGGACAGAATGGCTCAGAGGGACAGGGAAAGTGTGGACAGCAGCCTGCAGCCTTGGGCTCCTGAGCGGTCTGTGCAGGTGCTGGCTGAGCGCGGGGCTGGAAAGTGGGCCAGGGCCTGAGGATGGGAGGTCCCTGGGGCAGAGCCTGAGCATACCTGGGCTCTGGCCTCTAGGAGGCCTTTTCACAGGAGGGTGGGGTCAGCCATGAGACGTGCAGAGGGGGCATCTCAGGTCAGGACTAACTGGCCATCATTTGTCCCTTAGAATGGACCTCATTTCATTGACGTTACGTTTCTCTGCAGCTTACGCTTATTCCAGAAGTTTGACACGTTCCGGATTCTCGTTTGTGGTGGGGATGGCAGTGTTGGTTGGGTCCTTTCTGAAATCGACAGCCTCAACCTTCACAAACAGGTACTTGGGTGTGGAGGGGCCCAGCCCCAGGGAGAGCGATGCCACCAATACAGAGAGGCTGTGCCATCTCGGGTGACGCACCTCGTCCCCTGGGGCCCCGCTCCGAGGTCTCAGAGGAAGAGCGGAGAGGTTGATGGCGTCTTGGGGCCCAGGGGCTGGACAAAAACAACCCTGCAGTCCCCGAAACTCCCAGGCAAGGGCAGCTCTGGGCGCAGCTCCTTACTGGATGATGATGTAATCTACTGCCGGCTGCATCCTGCTGCTGAGAGGTATACTTGAACTTTAGGTCAGAGTTGGGGTTCACTGGACTTCGTGGGGCTTTCTTCTTGGGTATTAAATTAAAAATAGATTTTCCTGATTTTTAAAAAAGTGTTGATTGATTTTCTACTCCAGCTCCCTCATCCTCCCAAATAATTAACCACTGCTAATGTTTATTTCAGTAACTATCCTTCAGACTTCTCTCTGTCAAACTGTGTCTGGTACAGTGTGTAGCGCAGCTTTGTTTAAATGGACGCATGCCACCCATACAGTAGCATATTGTATAGTAACACTGTGTGTTTTAAATCAGTTTTTAATAAACATATTGTGGGCGCCTCTCGCTCCACCAGTAAATGGTTTTCCAGTGGGCAGGGCAGCGCCAGCCCTGGGTTAGCGCATCTCCCATCATTGCTGGACTCTTAGATTGCTTCATAAAGACAACGCTGGTGGAAACCATGTACACACGTTCCCAATTATCTTCTTTTGAAGAGTGCCCAAATTTAAATTTTGGTAAGCAGTGCCAGACTGCTGTCCATCAGGGCTGTACCAGTTTACATTCCTGATGCTCATAAAACTGCCTTTTCTCGTATGCAGTCCACCGTACATCTTTTTAGTTTTTGCCCAGCTTAGTAGACAAAAAAATGGTATGTTCCATTCTTATTTCATTAATATTGGAGAAGTCAAACATATCCTCAGTTAACTGAATTTTTAAATGAATCAGCTGTTCATGTTTTTTAATCTAGTTTTCTATTGGGGTATTTACCTTTTTAAAAATTGATTTCTCAGAATTATTGTTATATTAGGGATGTAAACTCCTTGTTTGTCACTTGTCCTTCAGTGTGCTGGTGGCCTTTGTAGGTGAGGTGGACCGTCTGCTGTCAGTATTTAGCTGTGGGCACAGAAATTGACGGCCTATGTGCCCTTAACTCAGGGAGGCCCATTGCTCAGGAGAGAGCAGTGCCACCTAGTGGTGAAGTTAGGGTAGTGCACTTAGGTCCAATTTTTAGTTTTGTTCACTTCCAGGATTGTTGCCAAGGTCACTATCGTGAGTCAGGAATCCAGGTTTTCAACATTCAGCTGACTTCTTTGAGCATTCATCTCCTTTGGCTTCTTTGTGGCACTTGGTCCTCTGGTCACTCCATCCGTCCCCTTCGGTGTTCTCGTCTTCCCGGCTGCCCCTTCCCGCCCACCCTCCAGACTCCCAGCCTCGCCTGTTACCCACGCTCTTCTCCATGGGTCCTCTCAGCACCCGAGGGCTCCTACTCCATCTCTGTCCTGGAGACATAGCTGAGCCCAGGACCAAATCCTTGCTGCCCCGGACCTCGCTGGATGTCTCCTAGCGCCTCAGGCCTGGCCGTTCCAGCTCTGACCCCCAGCGCCACCCATCCCGCGTTCCTTGCCTTGGAGTCTGAAAATACCATCCCGCAGACGTCCAAGCCGGAGCCCTGCCAGTAGTTCTTGATCCTTTTCCTCGCTCCCCTCCTCATTCCTGGTGGATCCCTGGGGCTCAGTCCTGCCACCCAGAGTGTCCAGCACAGTGGTGGGTGCTGCTGAGTGCGTCTCAGCTGACCCTGGGCTCCGTCTGTCCACTCCTCCCCTCGAGGGGTCCTCCCCTCGAGCAGTTCCGGTCACACACAGTTCCTGTTGGGCCTCCCCTCCCTGAGGACCTTCCTCAGGGCAGTTCTGCTCCTGCGCCCTTGCTGAGTGCTCTGCAGTGGCTCCTTGGCTGAGGATAAGGTCCAGGCTTCACAGTGCAGTTTATCAGAGGCCCCCGTGTGGCTCCTCCTTCCTCCTCACTGCCCTCCCCTCGCTGAGCTCTGATGTGGCGGCAGGGTCGTGTCTCCTGGAACACCGCTCTGTCCCCACTGCCTGCTCCTTTTCTTTAAGGCTCCAGGAGGCCAGTGCCGGCTCCCTCTGCCTCGTGCTGGGGCTTCTTGTCCTCACCTGCTCGGGGAGGTGGGGCCTCTGCCCAGCTTGCTGTGCCTGGCAGGGCAGCGGGGCAGGTGACCTCGGGCTGTGCTGGGCTCAGGGAGGACCAGTGAGCTGCGTATTGGGCTCGGAGGTGGAGGCTCTCAGGCAGCCCATGCCTAGGGAGTTTCCTCAGTGCTGAGCTGGCACAGTGGGGCTTCCATGGGGGGCTCTGAGGTGGGAATTCCAGGTGGAGGGCGAGGCCTGAGCAGTGTATGGGGTCTCTGTGGAGAGGCAGGTGGAGGGGTGTAGGCTGAGCGCCAGGACGTTCTTGAGTTTGCCGGCCAGGCTGTGGAAGTCCTGGCTTCTGTTTTGATAGGACTTAAAGCCATTGACGATGTTGTTAGGGGAGGAAGACGACACTAACCATGTTTCTGGAAGGTGATCTTGGCATTAGTGAGATGCTGTGCTGGGTGGAGGGGCAGGCAGAGGGGAGCCATGGACAACTCTTCAGGGGCTCAGGGACTTGGCAGTCAGGGGCAGGGCTGTGGCCATTGCTGCAAAGATGGGGATGTAGGTCAGGGAGGTCGTGGCAGGTTGATTGTCAGATGCAGCAACAGATGAGAAGCGGGTCTGGGGCGAGGGATGGGTTTTTGTCGGATTAGAGAGACGTCTGTCCTGCCCAGTGGCTCTGCCTGGAATGAGAGCCCCACACCGTTTCGGATCAGACCTCACACACAGGCAGTAAAGGAAGGGTGTTTGATGCTGTGTCCTCCTCCCTGTCTGCCAGTGTCAGCTGGGAGTGCTGCCCCTTGGCACCGGGAATGACCTGGCTCGCGTGCTGGGCTGGGGTTCGGCCTGTGATGACGACACCCAGCTCCCGCAGATCTTGGAGAAGCTGGAGAGAGCCAGCACCAAGATGCTGGACAGGTGAGTGGAACGCTCTCCTGCCACTCGAGCCGCCTTGAGCAGGTGTTCTTAACCCCGGGTCCCTGGAAGCCATAGGCTCTCTGTGGTTACTTGTAAAAATTTGACCTGAGCAGAACGTCTTTTTTCTGGTGGTCTTTATCTTGTAATCAAATCATGAAAGAGCTAACAAACAGAGCAGGTTAGGAACCGCGCTCCAGAGTGCGGAGGGCTTCTCACCAGGCCAGGCCCGATCCTCTGGGCCATTAGGGGAGGTGGCCCAGTCTCCTCTGGCATTGCAGCCTCATTTCATATCTGTCAGCAGAGGCCTCCTTATCGGACACGGTTGAGAAGTCCCGTGTTTCCAGAAGAATCTAAGTTTTGGCTAATTACCCCCTGTGTCTTTGAAAATCCTTTGGCATCCTCCTCAAGTGAGCTGCTTTTAGTTTGAGCTCATGTCCGAAACCCCACTGACCACAGCCTGCGGGAACGCGGTATTGCTGAAAACGCCTCGTTGTCTCTGCGAGGATCCTGCAGCTGCGATTAGCAGGTGTGATTTGGAACCTCTTCCTGCTGCCTCTACCATTTCTTCTCTGTTGAAGGAGCCGTATAGGCCTTTGGAGGCTGTGAAGTGCCTACAGCCCCGGGAGAGCTGGCTGAGGGCTGAGTGATTTTTAGCTCTGAAGAGGGGGAACCCTGCTTTTTCCCCGACGCAGCGTGATAGGGTACCTTGCACCCCCTCAGGGGCCCTGCAGGGTCCAGCTGGCTGTGACATTTGTTCTCAGCTAAGTGAGGAGCCAGGTTAGGGACATGGGAGACAAGGTAAAGGGCTTACAGATAAAGTTAGAATTGTGGTAAGATCAGGTCCCCAGGCCATGGGGGAAATGCAGGGCCTGCCTGGGGGGCTGGAGCCGACCTGCTGAGAGCTCCCTTTGTGTGTGCAGGTGGAGCGTCATGGCCTACGAGACCAAGCTGCCCCGGCCGGCCTCCTCTTCCACTGTCACAGAAGACTTGAGTGAGGGTTCCGAGGTATTTCCAGTGGCCCCACTGTGTGCTCACATTGTTCTGCACCCCCACCCATCCCCCCACCTCCCAGCCTCATCTCGCGCTCTGGTCCCTCCTTCACATCCACGCCACCCTTGAAGTTAGTCTGTGCTGGTTCAGTGTTTAGCTTTGTTTTCATCTTATGGGGGTATTTTGTGATTTAGGGGTTCTCTTGGGGCCCAGACTTTGTCCAGACTGGTGCAGTGCTGGGTTCACACCTGCTGGCAAGCTGGCTGGTGGCTGAGCAGGAGAGAAGGCTCTGCCGGGGCCTGTCTCCCTGATGGGCCAGGGACAGTGGGCTAGGGCTGCGGCCCAGTAAACCATGGCCGCCAGGCCACATCTGCCCAGGCCTGCTTTGACCTGGCCTGTGAGCAGAGAGTAGTTTATACATTTCGAGAGAGGAAGGATATTTGTGCAAAGCCTAAATATTTACTGCTGGTCAATAATCAAGGTTGCCACAGCCTACGGAGAGGGCTGGTCACGCAGGTGAGAGCCCCACTTCCACTGGCAGCAGTAGGCTGAGCAGGGGACGGGCCAGGTTCCCAGGCAGGCAGAGAAACATGTCCACTGTGGGTGAAGCCTGGGTTAGGGAGCCCTGCTCTCGCCTGTGCTGCCGAGGAGGAGCGGGACTCGGGGTTCTGGCCCCGCACAGGCCGGTGATGTGACCTCAGACTAAAGCAGCACGACCTGCTGACGCGGTTTTAGCAACGTGTTCTTTTTTGTTAAGATCATTTGTCCACAGCCCCGTGAGGCTTCTGAAACCCTTCAGATTAGTGTGAAGTGGGCTGGGCCGGGCCAGCAGGAGAAGCAGGGGAGGAGGTCACCAGGTTTCCCTTCTGGGGACTGACGGTCGCCCCGCCCTGTGGGGGGTTGACTGCAGGTGCAGCAGATTCTCTTCTATGAAGACTCGGTCGCGGCCCATCTTTCTAAGATCCTGACCTCCGACCAGCACTCGGTGGTGATCTCATCGGCCAAGTGAGTGCCCGGTGGCCTCGGGGAAGCCAGGGGTCAGCCGCCCTGGACGCCCGGTTCCTAGCCGGAACTGTCTCTCTAGAAGCCTCTTTCCGCGTTTCCTCCTACAGGGTGCTCTGCGAGACGGTGAAGGACTTCGTGGCTCGGGTGGGAAAAGCCTATGAGAAGACCACCGAGAGCTCTGAGGAGTCGGAGGTCATGGCCAAGAAGGTCCGTCCTGGCCCCTGGGTGGGGGTGTCGGGGCGGAGCGGCACCCCCTCCACTCCTTCCTTTATCCCCACCCAGTGCTCTGTCCTGAAAGAGAAGCTGGATTCACTCCTCAAGACCCTGGATGACGAGTCCCAGGCCTCGTCCTCTCTGCCCACGCCACCGCCCACCATCGCCGAGGAGGTGGAAGACGGGGATGGGGCCGGCAGCGGCTGCGGCTCCAGTTCCACTGGGGACCGCCCCGTGGGGTCAGTGTGCCCGGCCCGACCGCAGATCTTCCGTCCCCGGGAGCAGCTTATGCTGAGAGCCAACAGCCTGAAGAAGGCGATTCGTCAGATCATCGAACACACGGAGAAAGGTAGCTGGTCTCCTGATAAGAGGGGCTTTCTTCAGGCGAGTACCGACCCATCCCCGTTTTCCTGAACGTGGTGAGACAGCAGGCCTATTTAAGAGCCACGCAGGCGACTCTGGGCTGCCTGTCAGGGGATAGCACCTCCTTCCCCAGAGCCTGCTCCCCACACTCGTGTCCGAGTGGCCAGCAGATCCGAGAGGGCCCCCCCAGCTGGTGGAAAGGAGCCTCGTGTGGTCACAGGCAGCGAGCATGTTGGGGGACCCGCTCCCTGGAGGGGAGTTCTAATCTGCAGTGGCTCTGCCCGGGAGCAGCCTGGCAGGCGTGGGGTGTGCAGCTTGGCCTTGTCCAGTTAGAGGTGGGGCTGCCCCCGGGGTGGGGGCCTGAGGAGAACCCTGGTGCTGAGAACCAAGGAGCTCTGAGGACACCTGGAAAGGAAGGCCCTGTCCCCAGGAGGGAGGTGGGCCCGGGCCAGAGATGGTGGACGAGGTCAGTTGATGGAAAGAAAGGCTAGGACAGGATCAGAGGCCAGGTGAGCTGGGGTGGTGGTCAGAGAAGTGGGAGGAGCCTCTGCACCGTGGTGTCTGGGGCAGGTGCTGGCTGCAGTGGTGGAGGGGGCCTGGGACCTGGACAGGTCAGCCCCACGTCCAGGGTGCCACTGCAGGCTGTCCCCGATCAGCAGTCTTGCATAGGATTCGAGACTTGCCCAGTTGATCACTCCCTTTTTCTAGACTCCATTCCCTAAGCTTTGAGAACGCTTAGAAACATGCACCTGACATTGACTTGTGAACTTCATTGCCTCCAGCCCCACCCGGACCCTAAGATCCCTCCTCAAGATTTTTCTTGGCCTCGGTCTGTCTGCTCTCTCATCACCTGTTAAAACCCACCTCACACCTTTTCCGCTCTCTCTTGACCCGGTTCTCTCTGAGCGGATCGACCTGTATCTTACAGGGAGAACAATAAGGTCGTGACCTCCACTGCACATCGCTGTGTGCATGGGGCCCTCCTCCTGCTGACGGCAGGCGGGGCCCTCGTCACGCTCCCCTCCGGGCTGCTCGGGCTCCTGCCCTGTCACCCCTTCCCCCCATATCTTCCTCCTCCCCAGCCTGTTGGCACAAAGGCCCGGGTGCCTCTTGTGCTGCAGTGTGCCGGGCTGAGGGGGAAGCTTTGGGTCTAAGCCTCCGGCGGAGACGAGGTTTGCAGGGAAATCAGTGAGAGGAGGTGGGAGTCCGTGTGCACCAGGAGCCCCATCAGCTGCCAGCATCTGTGGGTTCGTATCCTCGCGCTCAGGCACAAACGCCTTTTCCTTGTGCAGCTGTCGATGAGCAGAACGCCCAGACCCAGGAGCAGGAGGGGTACGTGTTAGGTCTCTCTGAGTCGGAGGAGAAGAAGGACCTGAAGTCGGACGACAGAGTGGGCCGGGGCGAGAGCTACGGCGCTGCCAAGGGCAGGAGCCTCCGCAAAGGTACGGCAGCCCTGGTGGCCTGCGGCACCGCGTGGGCCTTTGGTTCTGTGATGGTCAGAAGCTTGTCCTGGGGAGCTTTAGGGTGCCTCCTCACAGTTGCCGTGGCCAGCTGGTGGTGGAAAAGGTCAGAAACACACGACTTGTTCCCACGCGTGTCTGATGTGTACAGTTTGTCGGGTGAAGGCCCCGCAGGCGGGACCCTCGACAGGGAAGGGCCTTACTGCTGAGCCTGCACTCTCTTAGGACCTCCCTGTGCGCCCAGGCCCAGCAGGGCGCAGGGCCAGCAGGACCTCCCTGTGCCCCCAGGGTCCTAACCCAGGGCTCAGGGCCTCCCGCCTGCAGCCAGCCAAGCGCTGCGTGCAGTTTGCTTCAGGTGGCCAGGTGCCCCCTAGCCCTATGGGCCAGCCACCTGGGGACCCTTACCCTTCTGGAACAGCCCTCCAGCTCAGGCTTCTGCTGTGAAGAGGCACCCCCTCTCCGCTGACTCCATGCAGCGCCCCCACTCGTAGCCTTCACAAGCTGCTGGGAGGAATCTGCCTGTTCCCTCCACGCGCATTCCTGTGCAGAGCTCCTCTGCCTGCAGGGACCCCCGCAGCCCTGCCTGGCTAGGGGCTGGCCCCTTGCCCCCTTCCCCGGTCTTGTCAGTGCAGCCTCAGCCCCCTTCATGGCCTGTGTCTCTCTGAGGGGCATCTGAACTGACCCACCTCTCTGTCCCCTCTTACTCTTCCCCTCTCTCTGGGCCTCGTTCCTTAACTCACACTCTGCCTCAGGCGACCAGTGCTTGTAACCACTGCTCCTTCCCTTGGCCCCTCCGCCTGGTCACTGCTCTGATGGATGCTCCCAGTGTTCAGTGATGGTTTATTTTCTGTTCTGTTTTTATAGTGTCCAAGTCCCCTGTGAAAAGCTGATAAGCAAAGGAAGCTTGTCCCTGGGCGGTTCAGCCTCTCTTCCTCCACAGTCAGGAAACCGGGACGGCCTGCCAGCACTGAACACCAAGATCCTTTTCCCGAGTGAGTGTCCCCCCCAGTGGGCCAGGGTCGCCAGCACCGCACTGCAGCCTGCGTGTCTGGGGGAGGGGTGTAGGCGGGGTGCTAACCTGCCAACCCGCAAGGCCCTGGGCCCATTGCTCTGCCTGGCACTGGGTCTGAGGGGTGAATGAGACGAGGTCCCTGTCCTCTAAGAGTTTCTAGGCCCACAGGAAAGATGGGCACAATTACGAAGCTCCATCGCAGAATGAAAAATGCCCTTATTTATGACAGAGGGCAGGTGGCACCTGAACTTCTGCCTTAGGAGGGTCCCAGGAAGACGTCAGTAAGGAGGTGGTACTCAAGCTGAATGCTGACAGATGAATAGGTGTTGGCCGAGTGAAAAGAGGGGTGGGCGGGTGGTGGTGGGGAGCCTGAGGTCACCCCGTTACTTCCAGCGTGATTGCAAGGGGTGCACAGCCGGCCACCAGGAGAGTGGGGCCCAGCCCCTCGCTTGCCTGCCTTTTGGGCAGGATGAAGTCAGGGGAGCTGGGATGGCGCTTCGTGTCTTCACCAGGAAGGAATGGTACCAGGGGTTGAGATTGCTGATAGGACCCTCCTTAACCAGCTTCAGGGAGCCTCCTGAGGCCTCCTGGGCCAGTAGAGCACGTGCCACACTGTCTGCTCCCATCAGTGATTTGGCAATTTCTAGGTGAACCTCAGCTGAATAGAAAGAAAATTCCAGAAGTTCATGGAAGAGGCTGAATCGTATTTGGTTAATCAGTAACAGGTTTTATTGGAAGGAATGAATTGTCAGAATGTTCAAAAGCAGGGTTCCATCTCAGCCTAAATATAATTTAAATGTTTATAAAAGGCGCAGCTCTCCTGAGGGTGCTGGTCACTTGGGATGTTCCTTGATGGTCAGCTTTTCTCATAAATCAGCCTTATAAAGCCGTACGGTTGCACCTAAGTTCGTTGTAGTGCGAGGTCATTTGGGTGGAGATCGTTAAGTTTAACAAGAACTATCTTGATAAGCTGTTTTCTAATGTATCTCGTACCACCCGGTGTTTATTTTTGTTCTGTGAATATGGATTTATGATAGTGATTTTTGACCTGAGACTATTAATTGTCAAAATTTGGACACTTTTATACATTATTTTAGAAACATCTTTTTGTAATAATCTTCTGAAGAACGTGTCCGTCAGCCTCAGGGACCCCGTTCCTCATGATTCAGTAGCCCCCAGCCAGTGCCGTCTCCCTGTTTCCTCCCTCACAGGCGTTCGGGCCGGGATGTCTGGTTCCTTGCCCGGAGGTTCAGTCATCAGTCGCTTACTGATTAACGCCGACCCCTTTAACTCTGAACCAGAGAACCTGTGAGTATGGGCTAAACCAAGCGGGCACGCTGTTAACCAAATGCTGGAGTATAGAGAACTGGTTCAGAATTCATTAGAGAGATCTGTGAGCAGTGGGTTAGGTGAGCTTTTCCCAGCTGGTGGTGTTAACTGATAAGGAAAACCTAGAACTTGTGAGGCCTCAGCTGCAGGCCGTGGTTGGGAACGTCCCGCGATGGGACGTAGCCTGTCCTGGCGCGTCCCTGGCTCCCGAACGTGCCCGACATCCTGAGGTTTCGCAGGTTCGGAAACCCTGCTGGAAACAGGTGGTGGTGTCCTCTCCGGTGTCCTTGCTGGCCCCGCACCCTGCCTTCTTTCTGTGGGTCTGCTGCTCCCCCGTTAGTGTCATGGTCGTGGACCCCTGGCGGGAAGCTCCTCCTCGTGACCCCCAGGGAGACGCTGTCCTGGGTTCAGGCTCCGGGAAGAAGGTTCCGATGCCGCCCTCTGCCCAGCGTCCACGGTGGTGAGCACTGCCACGCAGCTTGCTCTTGTGTGAGCGGAGGTCGTTGCGGGGACAGATGGTACTTTGAAAGCCCAGGAAAAGATTTTCTTTTCTGCTGACTGATAGCAAGTTCTGGGCAGCTGGTGGCTGATGGCACTTGCTTTCAAGTTGCCAACCCTGTGTGTTTGGCGTGGTGGGGAGAGTACGGTGAGAAATGTGTGGTTTAGAGACTCTGGGTTTTGGAAAGCAGAGCTGAAAGCGTGCCCAGTGACACCAGTTAGCCGAGAGTGGCCTCAGTTCACATCCCTGCTCCGGTGCTGGCCTGCCGCGTGCCTCAGCGTCCTCGTCCCCCGCCTAACACCACCACCCTCCTGTCTGCTCTCCCAGGGCCCCAGGGGGCTCTGATCCCGGCCCTTCCTCATGTTGTTTTCCTCACGAGGCCAGAGCTGTACCTCCCATGAGCAGCGTCCCCAGGGGCCTTGAACCAGACGTCTGTGTCTGTCATCTGAGATCACAGAAGCTACACGCCCAGCAGCGAAGGCTGTTGGTTTCCTCCTTCAGGGAGGGGCCTCTCCTTCCCCTGGGGAGACACAGACTCGTCTCTTCCCTCCCCCACGAGGTGTGCCAGGGGTCACCCATGGGGGCGAGGCGCTGGAGTGAAGTCTCACCAGCAGTAGACCCGGGACGTGGGGCTGGGATGGACGTTTTCAAATTTGGAGACTTTGGGTCTAGGGACATTTTGTGATCTGGGATTAAGTATGTGTGAGTGTCTGCCCTGGGTGTCATCCGGTTAACATTGCTGCTGGGAACGTGATGTGGTGCAGCTGCTTTAAACACAGCCTGGCACGTCCTCAAAGCCCCCAGTGTCCACGTGGCTCAGCAGTTCCACTCCTGGGGTCCACTGAGAGAAACAGAAGCACATGCACACTGAAGCGTGTGTACACGTGTTCACAAATTAGGGCCCAGCAGTGGAACAACCCAATGTCCGTCCGCCGAGACACGGATGAACAAATGTGGTGCTCCCTGCGATGGAAGGAATGCTGTTTGGCCATTAGCAGGGACGTGGTACTGAACACGGATGAGCTCTGAACACGTGCTCGGTGGCCAGAGCTGGATGCAGAGGGCAGCATGTTGTGTGATTGCATTTGTAGGAAACGTCCAGAATTGACAATCCAGAGATGGAAAGCAGATTAGTGGTCTCTGGGGCTGGGGAGGGGTTGGGGCTGATGGCCAAAGGGTGTAAGCTTTCATTTTGGGGTGATGAGATGTTCTAAAATTGTAGTGATGGTTACATGACTCTGTGAATTTGTTAAAAATCATTGAATTGTACATTTTAAATGTGGAAATTATATGGTATGTGAGACCGTTACCCCCAGAAAGCTACGTTTTGCTCTCAGGAAGAAACACGCAGAGGGTGGGGGGCTGTGAAGGAGACTGCCTGTGCGGGGTGGTTCTGACTGGCCCGAAACCCCGCTTTGCAGAGAGTATTACACCGAGAAGTGCGTCATGAACAACTATTTCGGCATCGGCCTGGATGCGAAGATCTCCCTGGACTTCAACAACAAGCGTGACGAGCACCCGGAGAAGTGCAGGTGGGAGGCGGCTTCCCTGCCTCTCCCCTCGGCGCGAGGTCGCCCCTGGGTCAGCGCGTAGAGGGTGCGCGCAGCCAGAAGGGGACGCGCGCCTGTGTGTCTGTGGCCACGCCCGCCGGGCAGCCGTGTCGGAGCAGGAAGAGCCCCCGAGGGGCTTCCCTGGGGCGTTCAGGTCCTCATCCTAAATTGCCCTGTACTCACACCTGCCGCCTGGGGAGAGGATGCAGAGAAACGGGAAGGCTTTCCTCCTGGGCTGAGCTAGACGTTCCTCTCCTCTGGGAGGAACGGAAGGGGAAGTGGAGAGCTAATGTCTCCCTCCCCGCCCTGCAGTGAGCGCCTGGAGGCGAGGCGGTGCAGCTGTGACGTTCCAGGGGGCCTGGAGACAGGGACAGGCTGGTGCGGAGCTGGGGCAGAGGACAATGGTTGACATAGGAGTCGGGGTCCCTTGCGGGGGAGCCTGCAGACCTGCCCCTGCCAGGTGCCCTTGTCTCCTGGTGGGGGGGGGTCACACTCACGCCCAGGTTGCAGCCTGGTGGTCCTCCCAAGTTCTGTGTGGTCAGACCTTTCTAGGAGAACAAAATCAGGCATAAGAACTCAAAAACCTCAGAGCTCTGGGACTCTGGAGTGACGGGAAAGGCTCAGAGGTCGCAGGGGCAGCCCTGCTACACAGCACGTGATGGGGCCCGAATCATTTGAAAATACCCGTTAGTCCACTCGTAACTGAAAAGGCATTAAAATGCATATAATCCGGCAGAACAAACCAGGTGAGGGGCAAGACCATGTGTGGTGTTTTTAGAACCTTGGAGCCCTGGTATCACCTTCCCTGAGTTTGTATCTTTGAGAAGGTCTGCTTAGAAAATTCCGCCTCTACACATCTGTCCTGAAGAAGTGATTGGGAACGTGGGCAAAGAGGCCTGTGCTGCGCACTTTGTGGGGCTCAGGCGTGGGAACAGGCAGCCTCTTGTCAGAGGGGTTGACTCATGAGTGACGTGGACGCGCCCGCTCAGGGTGCCGGGCCCCGGGAGTGGCGACCGTTCCAGCTGTACACCCAAGTCCTCGGGAGGACCGAGGAGCCACCCTGGGGCGCCCGTCGTCAGTGCTTCCAGACGTGGGGTATGAAGGTTATTTTCTCCCTTGTGCTTGTCTGCACTTTCCAAGTTTTCTACATAAGCGTAGTTTTTTAGCTGGAAAAATCATGATTCATACTTTTTTGTGAAGTTCTGTAATGTCTTAAATTTTTAACTTTTTGAGAGTATGACTACTTTCTTGGAACTGTTACTTTCTGGCAGAATTTCCTGTCAGTAAATGTGTCTCTAGTACATCCCACTTGGACACGTGACAGGGACCCATCCTTCCTTGTCCTGTGGTGTCACGGCTGGAAGTGATGGCCGAGTGTGACGGATCTGGGAGGAGGTGCCTACACATTCCTACGCTTGGCAGCAGCGGCTGTGGGTAACTGAGACCCACGTCAGTCCTTTGCTTTCCATGCTTAGGAGTCGAACCAAGAACATGATGTGGTATGGAGTCCTCGGCACCAGGGAGCTGCTGCACAGAACCTATAAGAACCTGGAGCAGAAGGTCCTGCTGGAGGTGAGCGCGAGGTCCCCCTCCTGCCCCGGGCAGATCGCTGGGAGGAAGCCCTGGCTGACGCTGCGTCCCCCTTCTCTCCTTGCCCCGCGTCTCTCCTGCTCAGTGTGATGGACGGCCCATCCCGCTGCCCAGTCTCCAGGGGATCGCTGTGCTCAACATTCCCAGCTACGCCGGGGGCACCAACTTCTGGGGGGGCACCAAGGAAGACGATGTGCGTACGGGGTGCGGGCGGCCCTGAGCTCATGGGGCGGGGTCGGGAGGTCACCAGGGAGGCAGTTGCTTCAGGAGTGTCGGCTACTTTGGGCCCTGGTGGGGCTCTCCTGGTGAAGCAGAGGGAGGGATGAACATGCCCTTGTGCTGGCAGTGGGGGCGCAGTGGGAAAAGGACAGACAGGACCCCACCTCAGAAGAGGGGAGGCCGAGCAGGGCAGGTGTGGTCGCAGGTGTGGCATAGCCCTGATTTGGGGCTATCTGGTAAGGCTTCCAGGAGGAGGGTCATCTATACCCAAACCTGAAGGGTGACTTGGGGTTGGCCAGCTACGGTGGTTTTCGGGGGACGGTGGGAGCAAGTGGCAGGAGAAACAGTGTATGTGAAGATCTGGTGGTCAGGCAGGGTCTGGTGTGGGGAGGGGTCCTCTGATGGTGTGTGCCCGGGGCAGAGCGCATGGAGGTTAGGACTCACGTGGGGCTGCACGAGCCAGGGAAGGAGTTTGAAATCTGCTGAGGATGTGGAAGGCATTGCTAGTCTTAGCCAGAGGCCCGGCTCCTTTGTGTGTAATAGCTACTGACAAAGGTTAATACTAACTGTGTGCTTGACATGTGCTGGTCGCTCTTCTGAGCACTGTGCACGTTAACTCAGCCCACGCGGGAACCTCCTGCAGAACAGACCAATGTTAGCCCCGTTTTACAGATGACGAACCTGAGGAGGAGGGAAAGTAACTTGCCCGAGGTCACCTGGCTAGTAAGCGGCAGGTCTGGGATTCGATCCCAGGCAGCTGCTTTCAGGATCTGAGCCAGAGACCCCTCAGCAATGTGTTGACCCCATAGCTGCTCCTTGTAGGGGGCCTGTCTGGCTTTTACCAACACAGCAGCCTCGAGAGTGAGGACGCACATGGGGCGGGTTCAGGGGAGCTGGGAGCAGAGGTCAGCTCTGACATCGACCCTTGCAGACCTTTGCAGCGCCGTCGTTCGACGACAAGATCCTGGAGGTGGTCGCGGTGTTTGGCAGCATGCAGATGGCTGTCTCTCGCGTCATTAGGCTGCAGCATCACCGAATCGCCCAGGTACTGGCCATGGTCCTGGAGGCGGGGGTGCTGGGTGGTACTGGGAAGCACTCTGGCTCACACACGTTTGGAGAGGCAGACCTGGCCCAGAACCATGGTCTCGATACAAATGCGCTGCTGGTGCACAGAGCCCAGGAGAGTAGGCACCTTTTCAGGATCGCCCTGGCTGCCTCCTGATGGGTTTGACAGTTAAATACTTTCAAAACTGGGGCTGCTTGTACCCCCAAGCTCCCTCTGTGATGCTCTCTGTGGGCACCAGCTGTAGTATTCTGTCCCCTTCCGCTGCGGTGGAATGAGATGAGACGGGCCCGACTGACCTTGGCCCCTGTGTCTGCAGCTCTCAGAAGCAGCAGCCTGGAGTCTGGGAGCGGAGGCCAAGCATGGGTGGCCTCACCTGGCTGCTCTGACGTCCAGCTGAGGGGGAGACTGGGTTGGTTCCCCATCACGTACTTCTGGTGGTGGGTTGGCAAGGGTCTGTCCGTCTGTGAGGTTGGGGCGGACAGTGTTCTTCTGCACAGAGGTGGGGGGAGCAGGTCCAGTCAGCTGACCTGAGCCCCAGGCTTTGGTTGTCCAGTCTTTCCTGTCCCTACCGTGGGCGCTTGAGTTTCACAGTTTTAACTCTTTGTCATATTTTGTGTCAAAAAGAGGTGTACTTGCTGGGTGCTTGCTCTTTCCTGGGAGTGTTGACATGCGCCCAGGGGCCCAGGGGCTCCGCCTTGGGTGACGGTGTCTGAGCACCAAATTTCCCTCACTGCGATCACAGATGCAGTGCTGGCTGAGGGGACAGTCGGGGCCGAGATCCCCAGGCTCCATGAGCTGCACCCCAGACAGGGATCCTCTGATCGCAGAGGCCATGGGTGTGGTGTCACCTCAGAGGCCAGTGCGGACTGTGTGGGGCAGGGAGGTGCCCACGGTGCTGAGACGGCATGGTAAGGCCCCTGGGTTCTGCTCGCTGCACGAGTAATGGCTGTGATGTTTGCTCAGTGTCGCACAGTGAAGATTTCCATCCTGGGGGATGAGGGCGTACCTGTGCAGGTGGATGGAGAGGCCTGGATCCAGCCCCCAGGGTACATCCGGATTATCCACAAGAACCGGGCACAGACGCTCACCAGGGATCGGGTAAGACAGGCTGCCTGTGGACCCGGGGGAAAGGGTGCTGGTCCCACTGGCGGGTGCAACTGCACGCCTTCTAAGAAAGGCCTGGAGTTTTTAACGTTTTGTTCTAGAAATTTATTAATTTTTTAGATGCAAAGATTAAGTGAGTAGGGCTGTAATTTCTAGGACCATTCCTCCTCCCCCAGGGTAAAAAAGATTCAGTCTCCCTTTCTAGCGGGTGTCTGCTGGTGTCCCAGCAGTGTTTCTTGTTAGGTGTACATTTGTGGGAGAAAGTGTAATGCTGGCTTCTGTGCCGTAGGCCTTTGAGAACACCCTGAAGTCCTGGGAAGACAAACAGAAATGTGAACTGCCTCGCCCTCCGTCTTTCTCTCTGCACCCGGAGATCCTGTCCGAGGAGGAGGCCACCCAGATGGACCAGTTTGGGCAGGCGGCGGGAGCCCTCATCCACAGGTGGGTGCTCACCTTCCTTCCGCGGTTGGCCCCTCCCCCAGGGGGAGCGCTGGGGCCCCCTGACGTCACTGGGACGCCCTCCTCCCAGACCTTACGCGCCATCCTGGGCTTTATGATTTTCACTAATTGTCTTTCTGAGCCTACTCGGAGTCTGTGTAGCTGGAAGTTTAACACCCACAGGCATCCTCAGGGCCAGTGTGTAGATTGTAAAATCTGTCCTAATTTCCCCTTACTGCCTCCTTTTCTCTACCCCAGAGAGCAGGTTTGTTATTAAAAAGCAGACCTTACAGTTATTTAATTTAAAAAAAGACAACAGGCAGAGGCGTTTCCTTCTCTTACCCAGCCTCCCAGGGCTGCTGTGGACCTTCCAGCCTGGTCACAGCTCTGCCCACCGTCCTCTCGCCCCTCCTGCTCACTGTCCACTGCCGTGTGCCCCCTCCAGCATGGTCGCTTCAGCCTGGTGACCCACGCCTGCACGGTTGCCACATCTGGGGACCCCTTCTGTGCTGTCTGGTTCTGTCTTGGGGCTGCACTTCCTCTCCCTGCCTCGCCTCTCCCTCCCTGAGGCCCCTCCTTGGCTGGCCCTCCTCCTCTACCCACTGCTTCTTACCAGCTTACTCTTTTAAAAGGTGTAAGTCTCATCTTGGGCATTTTTCTCCCCGGTTGAGTTTCTAGAAAAACTTGAGATTTTGACGTCAGATTTCCCATGTAAGACCCGCTCTGCCATCAGTCAGGAGGTGGCCGGCAGGGTCATCCAGGTCTGGCGTGTCCCTCTCTAGCATCCGGGAGATCGCACAGTCCCACCGAGACGTGGAGCAGGAGCTCGCCCACGCTGTCAACGCCAGCTCCAAGGCCATGGACCGAGTGTACGGCAAGCCCAGGACCACAGAGGTGCCTGCGCTTTTCCCGCTTCGCTCGCCCGCACTCCTGTAGTCCCGGGCCGTCTCCATGGTGTCTGTTCTGGTTCCTCGCAGGGGCTGAGCTGCAGCTTCGTCCTGGAGATGGTGAATAACGTCCGAGCTCTGCGCAGCGAGACGGAGCTGCTGCTGGCAGGGAAGCTGGCCCTGGTAAGCTGGGGGGCGGCTTGCCGTGCGTTTTAGCCCAGGAGTGTCGGCCTTGAGAGTTCTGGATGCCGAGTTGGAGGGGCGAGAGGCCATCTGAGCTGACCGTGTGGAGGTGCTCAAGCCCTCTGGCCGCATCTCAGCACGTCATCTCCAGGGTGTCGGACTCGTGGACAGGACCGCCTGTGTCGTGGGAAGAGCCGCCTGAGACCCTCAGGTGTGCGGCCACCACTGTGGCCAGGCCGGCCAGCCCTCTTCCCAGCACGCGGAGTTGCCGCCCTTCCTCACTCAGCCCTTCAAACCTGGCTGATGAGTCAGCCCTCGAGAGGCACACGCCTGGACTTTCCCTGAGTCACAGAAGCTGGAACGGGAGACCGGAGAGAGGGCCTGGCTAACCCTCTTGTTTAAGAAATGAGGGCGTGGAAGGTCAAGGGGGTGGAGTCGCTCTCCGAGATCACACGTGGGCCGCCCCAAGAGCCCACTCTCTACTCATCCAAATCACCTCTGCTGCCACACACGCTGCCTGCGCACTGGTGCTGGTGCACCGGGCCCCCTTCCAGAGGGAGGGTCCCGGGACAGCCAAAGCAGGGGACGTGTCAGCCCCGCTGCTGTGATTTTCAGACAAGCTTGGTTTGTCTCATTATTTATGAGAGAAGAATTCTCTCACTTGACACTACTTGCAAGGGGAGGTTCTGAGTTTGGCCCTTAACCAGTGCTCTGACTCGGTTTCCTTGGAGTTTTGTAAGAACTCTCAGAGAGCAGCCCAGCCCCTGGGGTGGACCTCATGTCCTTGTGGGTCTGCTGTGGCCCCGGCACCGCCCTGCTAATAACCGGCTGCGTCTCTCCTCCCTGCCTGGAGCAGCAGTTGGATCCCCCTCAGAAGGAGCGGCTTGCAGCTGCCCTCGCCGAGATGGACCAGCAGCTCAGGAAGCTGGCGGACACCCCATGGCTGTGCCAGCCCATGGAGCCTGGTGATGAGGAGGTATGTGGGTCATGGGCCTCCAGCCTGAGGGCCCCTGGGCGCAGGGCTCTCCCTTCAGTCCAGCTCTGCTCTGTGAAGCCCTGGGATTAGGGTGGTGTCACTCTGGCAGCCTGGAGTCTGGCTTCCCATGCTTCTCTGTTAAAATGCCTTCAAGGCACGAAGATGGATTTCGGCAGGTAGGAAGGATAGGGGGATTGATACTGAGAAGGACCCTTGACGGCTGGGGCACAAGTTGCCCTCGGAAGCAGAGCTGCGGGGCTGGCCAGGAAGCAGGTAGAGGCAGGAAGCCTGAGCCCCGCCCCACTGTTTGCCCACCGCTGGATGCACGCTGGTCGGATAAATGGCAGCTTCTGGGGAGGTTGTTGTTGACGGGGGCAGAGTTGGTGTGTTCCGCTCCCTGCACACTTCCCTATTACATGGATTTAGGGACTCCAGCATGTGCAGGTCCTGTAGCTGGGATGACAGACGGGGACCCTGGGCATGTTCCCTGGGAGTAGTGCCTCCTGCAGTAGGAGAGGCGGCAGGAGGGCCCAGGAGAGGGGCTCGTAGGATGGTCGGTGTTCCCGGGCAGCACTTGGCCCAGGACAAACCCTCAACGGCCTTCCTGCCAGGGACAGATCAGAGGTGCGCAGGGACAGGAGCTCACCGTAGGGTAACACAGTCGCACGAGTTACAGGACTGCTAGGCTCCGACTGCCCCAACCTGCAGGCAGCAATTGGTGGGGGCAGGGGGGATGAGGGGGCAGTCCAGAGTGCTCTTCTAGAACATACAGGTGTTTGCTGACACATTCTCACCCTGCATGGAAAACGGACTCAGGCCTTACAGCCAGGTAGCAAACTCAGCAACGTAAGAATGGGGACATTTTGGTTTAGAAGGATAGGCCAAACGTATCAAAATTGGCTGAATAGTTCTTTATAAATATGATAAAAATTTTATTTAAAAGAAAATTATTAAAATAATAATATAAAATATTCAACAGATGTAGCAGTAACCTAGCCTGGTGATTCCAGATCAAGTCATCCAAGCCCGTGGAGTGTGGGCGTGGGGTGGGGAGTGTGGGAAGAGGACGTGCACGGAGGAGTGAGAGCACGTTAAATTCCTCCTCTTACGGTGGAAGAAGGTTAAAAACAAGTCTTGACTTGATAATTAGATAAATGTAGAGTCAGTTATGTTTTAAAACCGTAAGAGTAGTTTCTAGTAAAATTGAAAAGGTTTATGTCTTTCTAAATCACTGACAAAAAACAAAAAATATAATCTGTACGGTAAAAGAAAACAAGGAACAGCATAAAAATAAGAGAGAAAATGACAGAGCTTCCCTCTTAAAAGCAGATTGTCCTCAGATTGTGTTAAACAAGAAGTTTGGCTGCATGCTAATCACAAGAGCCGTTTTCTCTCCCATACCCGCAATAAAGAATTATGATCCAGAAAGGTTAAAAATAAAGCAATTTCAAAGGAGACAATAAAAGATCCAAGGTAACAATATGCAGATAGAATTGCGTACCGAGGGCAGTAAGTGATAAAAAGGATCTCTTTATATTGGCAGAACATAACCACATTATTGTACCCTGTACTGCATTACTCTGAGATAAACTTACGATGATGATAGTAATGGTAAAACCAGGTGCTTATAAAGGAGTTAAAGGTATATTTCTGATTTTCCAACATATGAGATACTTTCTAATTATCTTTTCGTTATAGATCTTTAACTTAATTTCACTGTGTTCAAAGGAGATGGTTTCTATGTTACCAGCCCTTTGATTATTTGCGGAAGCTTACTTTATGGCCCGATAGGTGGTCAGTGTTTGTTTGTTTGTTTGTTTGTTTGTTTGTTTGTTTTTTAATGGAGGTACTGGGGACTGAACCCAGGACCTCATGCATGGTAAGTATCCCTTTACCACTGAGCTACACCCCTGCAAACAATCCAACACCCTCCGCCCCCGTGGTCAGTTTTTATAAATGTTGTATTATTTACATCATTAAGTCCTTGCTGGGCTTTTTTTGGGGGGCGGGGGTGTCTTCTTGATCTGTCAATTACTGTTGAACTCTCTGACCGTGAATCTAAATGTCTCAGTTTATCTTTGTGGGTTTTTTTAATTTTTAAATTTTTAAAATTAGTTTTTTAAAGCTTTTTGGGGGGGAATTATGTTCATTTTTATTTATTTATTTATTTATTTTTGGTGGGGGGAGGTAATTAGATTTATTAATTTGTTTTTTAATGGAGGTACTGGGGATTGAACCCAGGACCTCGTGCATGCGAAGCACACACTCTGCCACCGAGCTATACTCTCCTCCTCTTTGTGGTTTTGTGTATCTTTGCCTTATGTATTTTGAAGTTATGTTACTGGATACATCTAGGTTTTATCTTTATGTGAGTACTTTTAGTAATTCTTTTTATTTCCAAGTCTACTTGTTTGGTATACTGTTTTTCGT